TACTGGAGGGAATACTGGAGGGTGTACTGGAGGGAATACTGGAGGGTGTACTAGAGGGTGCACTGGAGGGTGCACTGGAGGGTGCACTGAATGGTCCACCAAAGGGCTCACTGACCAGCCTGGCCTGGGGCTGCTGTCAGAGAAAGGAAGGTGCTTCCTTGGCAGGAGTGGCTATGGCAGAACCCTAAATTATCAGAATAAGTTCTCTCTCTTATTGTCCTGATCATCATGAGCAGGTGGCCAATGGAAGAACCCTTTCTCAGAGAGGTTACTCAGTAGCCATTCTGCCTTATTAAGAGATGTAGACTCAGAAACAGTGAGAGAGGTGGTCAGAAAATCTCCCGAGTTTGAGGCCATTATAATGCCGAACAATAGCCGATGCCTGAAGATAGACAGTGAGTGTCCATCCAATGCTCTGAATCGTGGCCTATTATTGGGTGACCTTCGCATTGGCTCCCTGCCCCACAGGTCCCATATGATTGGTGAGAACAAGGCAGCTGTCACACATGCAATGCAATCTATATTTTAATAATATTTTATATTTTAATGCACTGAACTCAGGAACTCGACTTCTTTGACAGAAAGTACTTAGCAAGTCCCCCCCCCCCCCCCACAGGAAGAAGCATTACTTTAATTTTTAAAGGTGGCATGACGCTGACGTGGCCTAGGTACAGAGTGGCTGGGGAACTGGTGAGATGGTCCAGTGGGTTTAATTGCCACCAACCCTTATGACCCGAGTTCCATTCCCACCACCCACATGGCGGGAGAGGAGAGCTGACCGCCACAGCTGTCCTCTAACTTCAATGCGCGTGTGGCCCACACACAGGAGTGGCCAGGGCCGACATTCTTGGAATCTCTGGCAGGATGTGTGGGGACTTGGAGGTGAGACTCCAACAGACTCGTGCTGCGAAAAGTCATTAGTGCACTATGGTTTCAAGTCAGTGACCAATGCCTAAAAAAAGGAACGAGCTGGTCAGGTCCTTCCAGTTAGAGATGGTGACTTCTTGAAATGAGAAAAAAAAAATGTTCCCTTAACTCAGTCTTTGTTTTAATCTCCACTCAAGTGTTTTTCAGCCACAAAATACTACTTCTTAAGGATCTAGACTTTCCTTTTAAGGTAATAAAGGTGTCTTTACCAGTTGTCTGATGACTTAGTTTCCTTTTTTTCTTAGATATTCTCCTGAAAGAAACACAGCATGTTAATGATTTCCAAGCAGTGAATTCCATTACAGTGTAGTTCACTCATTTCCAAATAAGCAGTGTTGGCTGACTACCATGTGCTGGACCATGTCATGTCACAAGGATGACAGGCTAGTTAAAACACAGGCCTTGGGGCTGGAGAGATGGCTCAGAGGTTAAGAGCACTGGCTGCTCTTCCAGAGGTCCTGAGTTCAATTCCCAGCAACCATATGGTGGCTCACAACCATCTGTAATGAGATCTGGTGCCCTCTTATGGCCTGCAAGCATACATGCAGGCAGAACACTGTATACATAATAAATAAGTCTCAAAACAAAAAACCACAGGCCTTGTCCTTGTGGAGGTCTGTGTCTACTAGGAGAGCAATACTAGATTTATGCAATCCTCAATTTGATTTCATAGCGGTAGAGATATTTAAGCTGCTCTGGAGAGTGGTTAGTTCTCCACACAGAGAATGAAGGTACACATATCTGTCAATGGAAAATGGGTGGGGGAGGGCTCAGGGAACAGTAGAACCTGCTGCGTGCTCCTTCATTAAAAAAATCGGTTAATAAGAAAAATATGAAAGCTGTGTTTCACTCATCAAAAATTCTACTTGTTTTCTTAACCTAACTGCTGGAAGTCATTCAGTTTGCCTTCCTCTGCTACAGTGATTCTAAACGTCCTGATGCTGTGACCCTTTAATACAGTTCCTCATGCTGTGCTGACCCCCAACCATAACATTATTTCATTGCTACCTCATATCTGTAACTTTGCTAGTTATGAATCATAATGTAAATATCTGTGTTTTCTGATGGTCTTAGGTGACCCCTGTGAAAGGTGGTTTGACCCCCCTAAGGACAGATGGAAATGGTAGGGACCAGGACTGTATTAAGTGTCAGCAGACTTTTAGTCAGGCATGGCGGCACACTCTTGAATTTCCCATTGTTCCCTGAGCTCAACACTTTGTGTTTATGTGAGCCGCCCCTGGATTCTCCAATAAATTCTCCCCTGACTAGTTTGAGTAGGGTCCCACACCTCAGTGGGAGGCAAACTTACCCAACTTCTCTGTGGCTTCCACGCAGACACTAGGATACATGCCTGCAGTGTAAGTGGCCACCAGAAGATACAGATGGGTCTTCACAACCACCACACCAGTATTCTCCTGGATGAAGAAGAAAAGAGAATGCTCTGGCTTTGGTCCGAACCACAAGGCCAGCAGCTACCCCAGACACACACACACACACACACACACACACACACACACACACACACACACACACCCCGAGCTGTGCGGTGGTGGCACACGCCTTTAGCCCCAGCACTGGGGAGGCAGAAACAGGTGGATCTCTGTGAGTTCGAGGCCAGCCTGGGCTACAGGGTGAATTCCAGGAAAGGTGCCAAAGCTACACAGAGAAACCCTGTCTTGGAAAACCAAAACAACAACAACAAAAACCCAAAAACAACAATTTCCTGACTTATTTGTATTCATGTATTTGTATTTTAATCTTCCACTCTTTTGAGAAATTCAGTGATGTTTTCTGAAAGGTTTCAGCTTTCCATACTAATATTGCACGTTTTGTGAAGAAAAGTTTCTGGACGAAACATACCATACACTGACTGTGGGGAGGTTGGAATGTTGCAGGTCCAGAGCCTAATCACTATGTATTCTGGGCTATCTTAGCCCCCTAATAACCACTCCTTGTCTACCTCTGTGTCTGATTTGGCATTCTTGTGCCTAACAGGGGTATGAGCTTTGGGAATGTATTTAAACACCCCCACCCGATCCCAGCTTCACTTTATGTGTCTGTGTGTCTGTCCTTTCTTCATTCCTTCGCTGTCCCCAGTCAGGGCTTCAGGACCCAGACATGCAGGTCACAGCACTACAAAGGATGAACTGTATATCAGGAAGAGGTAGCTCAGGTCACAGATTCTACAGGAAATACTTGCAACAGCCAGGATATTGGGCTGAGAATACTTTCGGACAAGAAGTGCTTTTTAATTCTTTACTTCATTCCAGTGCTGGAGACCAAACCCAGAGCTCTGCGCATTCTAGGCAAGTTCTCTACTACTGAGGTCCATCCCCAGGCCTTCTGTGAGTGTTTTCAGACGTGCCTTCCTGGGACCGAAGGCAGTAATGACCTTAGGCTGTTATGTAGAGAGCATCAGGAGGGGTAAAGAAAACTGAAGTAAAATTCTTGAGTTTTTTTACCCATATGTCTTCACATCTTGAATACTCACATTCTTAGCATAAAGAGAAAAGTCATCTGCCCGGACACATTTGTAATCTTTTTCCTTGAAATACAACCCTTCCCTTCGGGTTATCAGTGGGTTTTTGGCAAATCCATTTAGAAGTGTGCGAACATCACTTGGCATTACCTACAGAGGTGAAATAGGCCAGGTCAGAAAAGCATGGCCCTGTAGCTGGAGTGTTTTTCTCCAGCTCCCGCCAATCCCAATGCTTACATTATTTAAACTGTTTGGCCTAATGGCTCAGGCTTCTTGTTATCTAGTTTCTATATTTTAAATTAACCCATTTCTATTCATCTGTACCTTGTCACGTGGCTCGTGGCTTACCCGTACCTTACATCTCACTTTTCATGGTGGCGGCTGGCTGTGTCTCTTCCACTCCACCTTCCTGTTTCCCCAGTTTTCCTCTCTGCTAGTCCCGCCTATACTTCCTGCCTGGCTACTGGCCAGTCAGCTGTTTATTTATCAATCAATCATAGCAACACATTTACAACATAGAGAACATCCCATAGCATGGCCCACTGGCCAGTCAAGTTTGGTTGACTACCTTTTAAAATGGCCTGAAGGCTGGGACTGAATGGTTTTCACTTTTTAAAAATGACTGGAAAAAAGAACAGCTCTTTTTTTGAAGTTCCAATGTTCATAAAGTTGCATTAGAGGATGCCTACTCTTTTAGGCATTATCTACGGCTGCTCTTCCAACTACAGAATTACTGATTGTGACAGAGTATGTGGTCTGGAATCCTAAAGCACCTCCAATGGCTTTTTAGTAGAAAAAGGCTTTTTCTGTTTAAAAGGCATACCTCCAGGAAAGGATTTTCGGAAGAGGATTCCAATAGCATAGGAAATCACCTCAGGAACTGGCAAATGGGGTCACAGGAAATTAAAAAGTTTATGTACAACAAAGAAAACAATTGTCAGAGCAAAGGGACAACGGAACACAAAAAAGCACAAAACAAACGCCAACTACACACTGGCCAAGATGGACACACCAAGGGTTTGTTTTTACTGTGGAATCTTTGTTTAATGATGCAAAGACATGCTACATTTGTTTGATTAAATAAATTAACCTGCAGCCAGGAGGCTGAATCAGCAAGTAGCTGACAGGAAGTGGTATGGAGGAACCAGTGAGCAAGGACTTTTAAGTGGAGGTGGCAGGAAGGACTCTGGGTTTTTTGGAAGACACCAGCAAAGGAGCTACTTGCTATTCAGTCTCTCTGAGCGAGCAGAATTCCACCTCAACCTTGGAATCTTGAGTTCTTTAGAGGGACAGAGATCTAGAAAAGTTCCCTTAGTAGCTTTGAAAGAGTCGGTGCCTGAGGGCACAGAATCCCCTCAGGTTGTGGCCCTTGTTGTGAACTGCTGCTGGTATTAACGGAATTGCAGGGGCTGATCAGGAGAGCCATGGCTTGAGGGGCAGCCATTGTAAATAACTATAAAACAACAACAACAACAACAACAAAAACCCCACAAGGGTATACAAAGAACTGCAACACTCAAACACCCACATCCCCAAATCAGCCAATCAATCAATCAATCAATCAATCAATCAACTGAATAGATGATTCTTGGAAAGACACATAAAAAGGCCAAATACTAAACAAATACTTGAAAAACTAACATTTATCTGCCAGAGAAATGCAAATTAAAACTGCTTTGAGGGGCTGGAAAGATGGCTCAGTAACTAAGAGCACTTTGCGCTCTTCCAAAGGACAGGAGTCCAGTTCCTAACATCCATATCAGGTGGCTCACGACTGCCTACAACTCCAGCTCCCGAGGATTTGAAGCCCTCTTCTAGCCTCCAAGAGCACTGCACTCAGATGCACACATAAACGGATATACACACATATCCATATATAAAAATAAGAGTTCTGGAGAGATGGCTCAGTGGTTAAGAGTATGCAGCTCATGCAGAGGACTCAGATTCAATTCCCAGCACCAACATGGAGAGTTTTCTGAATTCTGAAGGCATTATGTATATATGTGGTGCTTTGAGATTCCACCATAGACCAATCGGAATAAGTATCACTGAGAAAACAAAACCAAATGAAGGCAGGGATGTAGCTCAGTTGGTAGAGTACTTGCTGAGCATGCCCAAGCTCTGGGTTTAGTCCCCAGTACTGCATAGAGCGGGCATGATGCTCCATGAATATGGTCCTCCATGAATATAGTCCTAGCATTGGGAGGTAGAAGCAGGAGGTTCAAGGTCATCTTTGGTTACCTAGCAGGTTACAGGCTAGCCTGGTCTACATGAAACCTTTTTTTTTTTTTAAATGGAAAAGAAAGAAAAAAAAGAAAACAACTACCAATAAATGCTGGCAAGGATGTGGGGAAAGATAAGAGGAACTCTTAGTTGACTGCTGGTGTGAATGTAAACTTGTGCAGCCACCATGGAAATCAGTATGGAAGTTCTTCCCCAAAAAACTATACCTAGAGCAGGGTGGTGGTGGCGGTGGCGGCAGCGGCGGCGGCGGCCCACACCTTTAATCCCAGCACTTGAGAGGCAGAGCCAGGAAGATCTCTGTGAGTTCGAGGCCAGCCTGGTCTACAGAGCGAGATCCAGGACAGGCACCAAAACTACACAGAGAAACCCTGTCTTGAAAAAAATCAAAAAACATCAAACAAACAAACCAACCGCTGCACCTAGAACTACCACGTGACCTAGCTATACCACTCTGGGGAACACAGGATGGAAGGACTTTGAATCCACATAGCCAGCACAGACAGGCAGGTGGACACGCTTGTGGCTGTAGTAGTCACAGTAGCCAGGAAATGGAACCTACCTAGATGCCGGCCAATATATGAATGGATAAAGAAAATGCAGTATACAAACACAATGTAATTTTATGCAGCCATGAAGAAATTGAAACTGCTGGACATGGCGGCGCACGCCTTTCATCCCAGCACTTGGGAGGCAGAAGCAGGAGGATCTTTGTGAGTTCGAGGCCAACCTGGCCTACCTAATGAGGCCCTGTTTCAGGGAGAAAAAAAAGGAAAAGAAAAGTGAAATAATGACATTTGCAGAAAAATAGCTACAGCTGGAATCATTGTGTTAAGGGTTAATAAAACAGACCAGAAAGACAAGCACCACTTTTTTGTTTGTTTGTTTTTTGTTTTTTTCAAGACAGGGTTTCTCTGTGTAGCATTGGAGGCTGCCCTGGAACTCACTCTGTAGACCAGGCTGACCTCGAACTCACAGAGATCCACCTGCCTCTGCCTCCTGAGTGCTGGGACTAAAGGTGTGCACCACCACTGCCCGGCGACCACTTTTTTTAAAAAACCAATTTTTGTTTTTATCTATCTATCTATCTATCTATCTATCTATCTATCTATCTATCTATCTATCTATCTATCTTGTATACAGTGTCATGTCTGCATGTACACCTGCACACCAGAAGAGGGCACCAGATCTCATTACAGATGGTTGTGAGCCACCATGTGGTTGCTGGGAATTGAACTCAGGACCTTTGGAAGAACAGCCACTGCTCTTAACCTCTAAGCTTTCTCTCTGGCTCCCTCCACCCCCCATTTTCTTTTATATATAGAACCTGGATTTATCCTATGTGGATGAGGCTGGAGATACAGCTCGGCAGGTAAGAGTGCTTGCAGAGGACCTAGGTTCAGTTCCCACTGTCCACCTGCCCTGTGGCTACCAACTGTGTATAATTTAAGGATCTGAAGCCCTCTATCGCCCTCTGTAGGTACTGTGTGCACATGGCATGCAGACAGAAATAAAACCAAATCTTTACAACTATGTGTATGTATGTATTCACTTCTGTGTGTGTGTGTGTACAGGTGACAAAATTAGAAAGGGGCTCCTAAGGAGGGAGGGATATCCCTTAAAGAAGGTGGGAAATAGGATAATGGGATACACATAATAAAACAGAAGGAATTGAGAGAGGAAGGGAACCAGCGGAAGCAGGAGAGGGTATAGAGAAGGGCATTGTGGGCAGGAATGAATGAATGAAACTTGGATGGACACAGGAATAGCACGTCTGTTCAGCACCACCAACACAACACAGACTGGAGAATGATTTGTGCCTGGGAGTAGAAAGAGTGCTCCCCTATAAATGTATGGGGGTAAACTGACACTATAGAGGCAATATAGACATATTAAAATCATATCAGAAAAAACAGGCACAAGAAATATATACAACAGACCAAGGAGAGTCTCCCTTGCCCAGACTCCACACTGAGATCACATTGGTTCCTACTGACCCGGACCTGTCCCACCCGTCTACCCATCTGTCTGGACCCGGCCCTGCCCTTTTTTCCCCTAGAGCTGGTCTCAACTCTGAAGCTTTCCCCTCAAACTCGTGATCTGAAGGAGTCTAACTAGTCACCAAAGTTTCACCAGATTCTTTCTCAAAGCTCTAGTTCTGTTAATTTATCGATATCTATTATCAAATATCTACTGACATTTTTGTTTGTTTGTTTGTTTTCGAGACAGGGTTTCTCTGTAGCTTTTTGCCTTTCCTGGAACTCACTTGGTAGCCCAGGCTGGCCTCAAACTCACAGAGATCCGCCTGGCTCTCCCTCCCGAGTGCTGGGATCAAAGGTGTGCGCCACCACTGCCCGGCTCTACTGACATTTCTGCTTCCCTGATTTTCAGGACTTATGAAAACTCTTGAACCCCGCCTCAGTTTCTTAATACTTTATTGCTATTCTGGAACCATACACACACACTTCATATGATTACATGTGTATGCACACGCACGCATTGCTGTGTGATGCAAGAGTAGTTGATATTAGTAATTCAGATGGGAATAAAACAGCCCGTGTTCACCTCAGTCATGGTTACCGAGGAAAGCAGGCGTATCTATCAAGCTGATACCACAGAAACTATTGTACCTTGTGAATTTATCATTACTCAATAAATTCTGACACTGTTGAGACAAACATGTTCATATTTTTTTTTACATAGTTCATTCACAACACATATCTGAAGATGATATGGTAAAAACCAATACTTTGTATGCTAACCTAAAAAGTTAGTTTTTTTTAAGAGTTTTCTTTTTCCCCCTCTTACACTAAATCCTGGTGATGTCACACACAGGCTCCTTTCATGGAGTTTGATGAGGGCCGCACTGTCCACATGCTTCGTCCCTAGTAGGGTATCTAACAGTAAGTTTTGTAAGTGACTCATGCTTCCTCAGCTCTGAACCAGGAACTGTAGTCGAAGCCTCCACGTATGAGTATACAAGGGCCTCTGATACTTCAGTTTTAGTGATCAGTGGGTGTCCTTTAAAACCCTGGAAGAGTGAAAACGGCGTTCATCATCTGGTGTTCACCAATACCCAGGAAAACAAAAATAACAACAACAACAACAACAACAACAACAAAAACTATAAAAAATCAGAGTTCACAGACTGGCTTATGAAGCAGAGTTTGGAAAAAAAAAATCAGAGCCTCAACATTTTTAGGTATCTATGTAATGATTTACATGAGAATTACCTGGGATTTAAAAACACAAGTCCATGCCTATCATCTCAGGTACTCTAGGGGCAGGAAGGTCATACAAGGTCAGAGCCAGAGAGACCCCCGTCTTTTAAAAAAACAAACAAAAAACAAAAAAAACTAAAGTTCTGCGGATGAAATATCAACGGTAGAGCGGGGAGAAAAAAAAAAAAAATCCCCCGTTCACTTCTCAGCCCCGCAAAAACGAACGAGTAAGTAAATAAAAGTAAAATACAGTAAAAACAGAAAAAGGCAACCGGTTATCCAAAGAATCTCAAGAGCACCGATGGAGAAGAGCCGAGTTATGTAAGATAACCCCTTCATTCCTCCTCCTGGGCCAGCATCCACGCTGGGAGAGACAGACACTGGTCCACAGCCCCGGCTCTAAAGCCCACCTTGGCGGCCCCTTAGAGCTCCACTTCCTGCCCGGGAGCCGCCATGTTGGACGGCTCTCGTCGAGCCAACCGCCGCAGGTTGCTCGTTCACCACCGGGAGGCTCGCCCAGCGTCCCTCTGAGAAGTGACGGATGGCGGGAGGGGGCGAGCCGAACCGGACCTAAAGTCCTGGCGGGTGATGGGAGCTACACACCGGGTACCAGGGCAACGGGAGCGTCAAAGCTCCGCCAGGGGCGGGGCGTGGGCGGAGCCTAAGAGGAGACAGGCGCGAAAGCTGATTGGCTGTGACCGCTGCCTGTTAGGGCGAGGCCGGCCCCGCCCCCGCCCCAGGCTGGAGGCCCGCGCGTCTCCGGGTCCGAGTCCGGGTTGCCCACACCCTACCCCCTTCCCCGGCCGTGGCCGAGCGCGCGCGGGGCCGCGTCCAGGAGACGGAAACCCCGAACGTTCGCGCGCGTTCTGAAGCCACACACGGGCTCGAGCTGGGGCCGCGGGCGCACGGGGGTGCCGGAGAGCCGCCAGCCCTGCCCGCCGCCCAGAGGGGGGTCGAGGCCTCGCACCGCCGGGCGGCCCTGCGCACGCACGCGGTCTGCGTCCGAGCGAGCGAGCCGGGGCGCGTTTCGGGGACCGGGGTCCCTCGCGGGCCCTGCTCCCCGGTGAGCGGGCCTGGCTGCCCCTAAGGTCCACCGTGGGCACGGGCTCGGAGGTGTCCCCTTCTCCCTCCCATGCACGGCCTGGGGAAGAAGGGCTCTGGGCCCCTTGGAGCGTGAAGGCCTGAATTTCGGCCAGGATTCCCTTCCTTCCCCAAGAGCCCGGTGGTGCCTCGGTAGCTTCAGGAATTTAGGAAACTGCTAGAAATTAGAATCCTAGAGGCTAGTCGGATGACCACTCGGCTTGACTAGCACCTTAATTAGCCACGAGGGCTCCAAAAGAGCCCGGCCGCGTGGCAACTTGAAACATCGATCGATGGATGGTCAGTTTTCGAAGACTCCTTCCAGTAGGGGCCCACGGTCACGCGGGTTGATTATTAAGCGGAAGAGGAACTTATGGCGAATTGTCATTACAAAATAAATGCTGTTTTAGCTTTTCTAGGGGCACTGTTAACTTGGCGACCTACCACAATGAAAACGGGGAGGAGCCAAGAGGATATGGTAACTGGCATGCTTCCTAGGCGCAAGAGCTCCAAAGAATGGTTGGAACCACAGTCGCTCTCTTTTATGGAGGTATAGTTGTGTGGCTTCTGAGGTCCTTGCTTAGGGAGGTGCCTTGGACTAAGTTTGGGCGGGTTTTTTTTTTTTTTTTTCTATCCTCCTCTATCCCCTTTGCCCTTCTTTGGAGAGCTTCTTAAAGTATAATCACAAGCCATTGATTTTAAATCCTTTTTTAATATAACAAAGCTGTTTAAAAACCTACTTCAACTTTGCTATGTTGTCCTTTTTTCCAGTTTTATTAAGGTATATAATTGGTATGCAATAAATACTTACACTCAAAGTGCATAATTTGGTAAGTTTGGGAATGTGTATGCTCCTGAAGCCATTATTTTGCTTATTCTTAAATTTTTCTTTCTAAGATTTATTATTTATTATGTATACAAGCCAAGTGTTCTGCCCGCATGTATCCCTTCAGGCCAGAAGAGGGCGCCAGATCTCATTACAGATGGTTGTGAGCCACCATGTGGTTGCTGGGAATTGAACTCAGGTCCTCTGGAAGAACAGCCAGTGCTCTTAACCTCTGAGCCATCTCTCCAGCACCTTAAAAAATTTTTTATGCAGTGAAAAATTACATGGTTTTTGTTTTTGATTGTTTGTTTTTTGAGTCAGGGTATCTCTCTGTAGCTCTGACTGTCCTGGAACTTGCTCTGTAGAACAGGCTGGCCTCGAACTCACAGAGATCCACCTGCCTCATCCTCCTGAGTGATGTGGTTAAAGGTGTGTGCCACCATGCCTGACTCTTATGTATTCTTTTTTACCTGGTTTCTTTGACTTAAAATTATCTTTCAGTTCATCCATACTATTGTATGTCTCACTATTCCAGTCCTCTTTTTAGCAACTGCTACTCTATTCAATGGATATATTCTAGTTTGTCCATCTCACTGATGGACGTTTGGGTTGTTTCCAATTTGGAGCAATTAAAAGCTCTTCTAGCCAAGTGGCACCTGTCTTTAATCCCAGCACTCAGGAGGCAGGCAGGCGGATCTCTGAGTTCAAGGCCAGACTGAGCTACAAAGAGAGTGCTAGGCCAACCAGGGCTGTTACACAGAGAAACCCTGTCTCAAGAAAAAAAAAAAAATCAAAACCAAAAACAAAAATAAACAAATAGATAGATAAATAAATAAAGCACGCTCTCCTAAGCAGTCACATTCATGGATTATATGGACATGTTTTAATTTTTCTTGGGTAACATTTAGTTGTGCGGTAAATTAACATTTTAAGGAGCTTTCAAACTGTTTTCCAAAGTTGTTACTTTACATTCCCACTGGCAGGGTATAATAAGAGTTTTTTCATGTTCTAGGCAACATTTGGTATAGTCTTAAGTTTTATTGTATAGTTAAAGGACTTAATTCGTTTTTAAGGCATCTTTGCTTGCTATTTGTGTGTCTTCTTTGGTAAAGTTTGTTCAAATATTTTGTCCTTTTTTAAAATTAGGTTCTTTAGTATTGAAATTTTAATAGTGAGATATAATTTATAAAACATAACTACTTTAGAGTGTACAATTCAGTATCCTTTTAGTCAGTTCACAAGACTGTAACTGCTACCATGCTCTTAATTCTAGAATCTTTTCATCATTCCTAAAAAGAAATGATTTCCTCTGGCAATTGCTCCTCATTCTCTTTGCCCCTAGTTATAGGTAACAGTAATCTGCTTTCTATTTCTGTGGAGTTGCCTATCCTAAGGCATTTATACAAATGAGTCATATGATATATGGTCATTTGTGACTGGCTTCTTTCTTTCACTTGGAATAATATTTTCAAAGTTCATCCATTGCCTGGCGGCGGTGGCACATGCCATTATCCCAGCAATTGGGAGGCAGAGACAGGTGGATCTCTGTGAGTTTGAGGTCAGCCTGGTCTAACAGAGTGAGTTCCAGGACAGGCTCCAAAACTACAGAGAAACCCTGTCTCGAAAAAACCAAAAAAAAAAAGCTTGAATTATTTTCGGGAAAAGAATTTAAGTACACCGAGCTCTTTTGTCTGTCTACTTCATTCCTCTGGGATAATATTCCATCTATACAGTTTCGCTTCTGCTCTCATGTCCAGCTCCTTTCTTGCCTGATTATCTGCTGTCCCCTCTAAGTTCTATCTTAATTCTCTCATCTTAGTTCTACCCCATCTTGGTCTTTCTCATCTTTTTTTTTTGGTTTTTCGAGACAGGGTTTCTCTGTGCAGTTTTGCGCCTTTCCTGGAACTCACAGTCACCGATTGTTGTTTATGTCATCTTAAACCTTCTGTTAAACTCATGGAAATCTGTCTCTTTTTAAAGTGTAGGAACTGGATTTTCCCACCATTTTTTTTTTTTTTTT